GATTTTCTTCATTTAAAATATTTTTAATTAAAAATTGCTATAGAAAACGAACAATGAGAAGACAGGAGGAGTCCCTGAGTACGGATTCCAGTGGAAATCAGACATTAAAGTCACAAGGAAACCAATCCTCCTAGGAGGGGAAGTCAAGGCAGACTCTCCACGGAAGGTGATGGGGATATAGCAAATTTGAAGAGCAGGAGTTTCCAAGCGAGAATCTTCCAGGAGAAGTAACAGGACACGTGAAGGAGGAGGCCGGCAAGCAAGACCCCTTTGTGGAACGGAAACCGTTCAAAACGACAGGTGGACAGCCAAGGTAGCAGTGAGGGGGAGAAGAGGTGAGACTGGCGCCCACGCCCCACCCTAGGAGGATCGGAAGGCGACCGTGGAGGGGAGCTGGGGCAAAACAGGTCGGGGGTGAGGATGAGAAAGGCAAAGAGTGGCCCAGCGATCCCCGCAAGCACGTCAAGGAGGGCGTGTCCGGGTCCCAGTGCCAGCGACTGGGAGCTGGGGCTGGGGCCACCCTGGGAAGGCTGCGGGCCGGCGCTCAAGGGGCCTGGGGCGATCGGCCACACCGTGCCCTCATGCGTGTCTCGGCTGATGGCTTGCGTGCAGCCGACCTGGAGCTCCTGGGAGGCGCAGAGCTGGGGAAGCCTCTTGGCCCCACCGAGCACTGCACTGGGGGCTTGGGGAGTTGTCGAATGACTGTTTTACTGTTCCAGATTGCCGAAGGAGCCCAGTGGTCGGTCCAGGGCACCGCGCTATCTGGCGTCTCCCCCGAGGCCCTGGGCTGCTGCTTTGCTCAGCCCGGGTCCGCGGTCGCCGGGTCAGTGCGGGGCCCCGGGGTGGATCCGCGGGGCGGGGCGGGGCGCTGCAGGCACAAGGAGCTCGGCTGCCGCGGCCCGGGGGCGTGGGTGGCGAGATGCGGAAGTGCCGGGCGCCTGGCGGCCTGGCGGGAGGCGCAGCTCGGGGAGAGCGCAGCTCGGCCCCGCCGCCCGGCCCGTGCTCCCGGGCGCAGCCACGCGGGCGCACCGCGGACAGGTAGGTCCCGGCCGCCGCGCGCTCCTCTCCGAGGAACGGTGCCCGCTTACTGCCGACTCCTGTCCCCGACCTCGACCGTGCCCTGCGCCCCCGGGGCACCTGCCGATGGTTGGCGGGGGACTGGAGTAGGGCGGCGTCCGCGTCCAGCTCCGCCTGGCACCTGAGCTCGAGGATGGGGAGCGCCCGGGCAGTCTGGCTTGGGCCACCGAGGGGCGAGGCCCCATCCCCGCTTTCGGTGCTCTCTCCACCCCTCTTTCCCAGCCACCCTCACCCTTTCGGGTAAGAAGAGCTTCAAAGCATTCATGCCCCCAGGATCTTAAGGCCAATGGCAGAGATTAGTGGGAAGATGGTGCCAGCCAGGGGAGCCGTCTTTGGCTCGTGCACGGCGCAGAACCCTAGACGCTGGTCCTTCTAACAGTGCAGGATCCGGGCGCAGTACTGTCTGGGATAGTTTCTTTAGGTCCTGTCCCCGAACTTCAGAACGAAACAACGAAGAGTCAAAAGGTGCAGGAAAAGTGAGACTGGTGTGGCCGCGGTGCGGGGGAGGACACAGCGAGGACGAGCGCAGCCGGGTCTCCTGAACCTCGAGAGGGGCGGGAATGGTGCCGGGAGCAGGGGTGGGTGTGGGGGACTTTCCTGGCCTCGTGGCCGCCCTAGGCACAGCAGGCCGGGGCAGGGAGGGCGCCACCAGCGGAGGAGCGGACCAGAGGCAGAGCCTGAGCCAGCGCCCCAGGGTGGCTCCGCGGCTGGCCCAGGAGGTGCGGGCTGGGTGCCCCGGGCGAGCCTGCGGGAGCGGCCGCGAGGGCCAGCCCAGGGCGGGGATCAGGGAGCAGGACCAGAAAGGACGCGGGCTGGGCCAATGGAGGAAGCTGGTGGCCCTAAGGAGGGGCCGCCCCGGCCAGAGGCAGAGTCCAGCCCCCCTTAGCTGAAGGGCCCGGGGCGCTGGGGCGAGGGGCTGGTGGCAGGAGTCCAGGCGGCCTGGAAAGCACCTTCCTAGGCTGAAGGCCCCACTTTGGGGATTTCCCCCTGTGCCCCCGGCCTTCCCCCAGCCTGCCCCTGGGAGCAAGGCGAGAGAGGCTTCTTGCTGCCTCTTGCTGCCGCACCTGCTGCCCCAGAGCTGCAGCCTGTCGGGACCAGGAGGGTGCAGGGCGCAGGGTGTGGTCCGCTCACTGGAGGGGGCGGATTTAGGGTCAGGCCTGGTGCAGGGAAGGCCTTGCCCTCTCCCTGAGCTGGTGTGGGGTTTGCAGGCAGACATGTGACCCAGGGGAGCCTGGAGGTGGCTGCAGGGGTCCTGCTGCTCAGCCCCTCCTCCTAGTACTGCTGTGGAGCTTCCTCCCCAGGGGCTCCCCGGTGCCCGCAGGGTTGTGGCTCCTCAGGGGCCTGTCTCCTGGGACCTCAGCATGCCCTGGGGGGAGCTGTGGGCTCTCCTGACCCCAGCAGGGGTTCCAGGGCTGCCCTTCTGGATGCCTCATTGCCTGGCCTGCTTGTCCTCAGGTCCTCAGCAGCCCACACTCCTTTTGGCTTTTGGTGGAAATTGCTGGAGGACCTGTTGATTTTCCCCACTTTCCAGGGC